CTCATTTATTTTTTCCCCTCTTGGATACTCAGTAAGCTTACTGCAAGAGGAGAGTTGAAGGATGCTTTAGGTAATAGGTAGCCTAGGGCTTAGTAGCTAGAGCACTTTACTAAGGATCCAGGTTCAAATCCTGTAAGCAAAAGGGGCTGAGAGATGGATTTTCCCATTCCCTGGGCAAATGCCCAGCCACCAGGCTTTTGGGCTAAAAGGTGGGAGGGTGCTCCTTTTCCTTCTTCTCCCTCCAAGTTACTAATCAAGTAGGCGAAGTTGCCCACATGTCAGGAAGCTACGTGCTTACCCAAGTTATCCTGACCTGCCACAAAGCATGAACAAATAGAGCAGAGCCTTCTGAGTATGTGCAAAAGTGTCAACATAGCAAAAACCTGCATAAATGCCAAAAATGACAGCTCTATTTGGATGCATCAAAAAAAAAAACCTTAGGCATATAAGGGTCAAATTCCCCAAACTATGGGGTTAAGGATATGGATTCAATGTATAGCTTAGGCTCAGCTCTTGAAAGACATATATATGTCTTGAAAAGAGATCTTGAAGTGGCCACGGTAGACCTCCAGCATCTTTGTTCTGCCATCCTCTGAGATCTTTGCCAACCCTACCTTATCTACAGAGCTAAGAACATTTTTACAGGGCCCCATAAAAGTGGTTGCCATTCACCCATTAGTTCTCCCAGACAGCTAATAATGAGAAAGAAACATTGTTTGATCCTTCTCAAGGACAAAACCAAACAAAAGGAGCATCAAACCATTTGGGGACTAAGCATCTTCACATCAAAAGACAAATCAAACCACTGACAAAGCTGTCGTGGGTACTCAACAGATTGAATCGAATGCCTTTTACGTCAGGGTTATGCAGACAAAGAGCTGCGTCAAAAACAAGACAGTCACCTGAAGTCAATGAAGCCTTCAGTCTGGTGGATGTAGGGTGCATCTGAAAGACAGTAGGACAAACTGGTATGGTAATATTCAATGAGAGTCATTTTGCCGCAACCGCTATAGCGAAAACCCAAAGAGCCCTACCAAACCAACGTTATCTAAACCCTCCATAATAAGTGCATTGTCATATAGGGAGGCCATTATGGATGCTTGAAGCAGAGTGACAGCTTCATTCCTTGAAATGGTAACATCACTACTCAGGAGTACAAAGAGTTTTATACCTCACAGTTCGAAGAAAAGAATTTGACACGAGTAATGAGTATGTCATTAAAAGGTAAAGAAAAAAAAAACTCAATAAGAAAACTCAAACTACAGAGAAATGCTGAAGCTGCTTATATTTTGGTGGAGGATACTTGCCAGACATGTCAGCTGATAGCATCCATAGAACTGGAAGACTGAAAATGAACTGCATTGCAAAAAACAGAGATTTCACAACTGAAAGCTGCACACTGACATTTATATTAGCTCAGTTTGACATGACCTGATGGGTTGGGATTGGATGAAGAGAAACTGTCTGCAGCATCCACCCACCTCCCTTTGCTAGAGCTCCTGACTGTTCCTATAACGTGCGACTTTCAGACCAGCCCGGTGCGGGTAATAGATCATGTGAAAAAAACATTGTCATTTTCAGCACTAGCTTCTGCAGGAGCGCTTGGAGTTTCCAGTCCAGGTTAACGCTGAAGCCTGCACATCTGTACACAGAAATGATAAAATGAATATGAGAGGTGTGCATTGATTTTTAGAGACTGGGCTACTGGGACCTGCTGTCAGTCACAATCAAGGAGTACTCAGCACAGCTGATTAGTGGAGGTCCAGAGTGACTTTGGACCCTTATATTTTCCCTGAATCTGGGTGTGCTGTGGCTCTTGGTCAAGTTAAGTGGCATGGCAAACGCAGTCAGCAAAGGACATGGACACAGCAGTGCTGCCTCCATCACTCTGCTGTCCTGTGCACCTTAGCACCAAGCAAAAGGATCCTTTTAACATAGCCAGACAAGTTCAACGCCCGCGGCCTTTGCACTGCTCCGGGTGTGTACTGTTGCGGCGTTTCTCTC